TTCGTAATCAGCATGCTCGATTACCCCCTGTGCCAGATCCCAGCCCCCTAGCTCAAATTTTGCAAAAAATCGATAAAATCGATAAAAGTAATGCACGGTTTCGAAAACTAATGTTGTATTCGTAATCAGCATGCTCGATTACCCCCCTGTGCCAGATCCCAGCCCCCTAGCTCAAATTTTGCAAAAAATCGATAAAATCGATAAAAGTAATGCACGGTTTCGAAAACTAATATTGTATTCGTAATCAGCATGCTCGATTACCCCCTGTGCCAAATCCCAGCCCCCTAGCTGAAATTTTGCAAAAAAACGATAAAATCGACATCAATCGATAACGAAAAGTGGACTGTGACACCCGCCGGAGCCCGAAGTGTATGTGTGCCAAGTTTGATTCGGATAGGTTGAGAAATGGAATTTTCTATTCGGAACATACGGCGGAGCCGGGTAAGCCAGCTAGTAAGTTCTAAAGTACCGCGTCGAGAATGCCTTCTGGAGATGTTTCAAAGCAACCATTCCATTTTGTAGGCATTGCGTCATGCATTCGTCAGGACTCATTCGCTATGGTTAGCCGCGTCATATTGGTCAAATCAGAATCTGACCAATCATGACGCGGCTAGGCATTAAGCGGATAGTCGGCCTTTCTTAATGGTGTCGGAATTCAGCTAGTATTGGGTCAACAGCATTCCCATAAACGAACTTCCAGTGTGCTTGAGTGTCGAAAAAATCACATTTCAAATCACCTAAAAGAATGAGTTCAAGGAATCATAAAGAAAAAAAATTACACGACAAAAAACGAGCTAATCTTGGACAAGCTTGCTTCTTCGATAAAAAATGTTGCATCCATTCTCAGGACGAAGAATATGACCTCAGATGCAAGCCAACACCTGGCCACTTGCACCAGCCCAGTACTCTCATCGGCGCACTGTCCGATCCCTGCGAGCGCGAAAATGTAATGCCATAAACAATGCTGGGGAAAAGAAACTGAATAAGAGATCTAACTTTTGCCCTTAAGCTACATTGTGCGCACAACCAACAAATCCTTCTTTATCAGTGCAACTCCAAGTAATATCCTTTGCTCATCGGCAAGAATGCGAAACAGCTTGAAGCCTGTAAATTATAATGTGTACCTCGTATCCTATATCGGCAACTACAGGATGGTAGCTCTGACGGTGCGTGTAGTGTCCCTGCGGCGTTAACATTTGACGACAATATTTGCGCGTGAAAAATGAAAACTTCAAGACGTGCGTTCTGCGCCCATCTTGCAAGAGCATACGCCAGCACCGCAGCGAAGTGCTCACGCGCAAATGTTGTCGACAAATGCCAAACGCTAAAACACTATGTTTACCGTCAGATCTACTTGGCTATACAGCGTACTACCAATATTCTGAAGACATCTACAAAAAAGAAAAACGCTCAAAGAAAGGATAAACTCTTACTGCGCTGAAAAAAGCACGCAAAAAATCAAAGAGAATCTTAGTGCTAGCTTACCGCAATGGGCTTGATCACGCATCAGCAACTGAACTCCTGTGAGACAGCACTGCCTTCAAATCAGATCGCAATGTAGAGCATGCTGTCATCTATAATACAAACATTAATCGTGAGAGATAGGTAACATATTCAGAAAACCCGAAAGCCTCATTCTAAAAAGGAATGATTCTTTATAACAGCTGTCTAAACTGGCAACGGAATTTTCTGGGATGACAAACTTACTTTATCACGAAAACGAATAAAGCAGCATGGAGAGAGCGATCGCACGCACGGACTAGATAACGTTGTATCCGAATAAGACGGTTCGTGCATGGGAGAGATAGCAGACGGCAAGAGGGATGAAACAGTCTTCACTAAAAACGCCGAAAAATCCGTAGTGAAGCCCTATTCTTGTGTGCGATAAATCGCACGCAAGAACACAGTAGCGACTGTTAGAGAAACACATTTGAAATAGACATGAGTCAGTGAAAGGAATGAAAGAGCGCTTGTTCAAAGAGATGCGACAGCATCCACTTTGGGCCCTGTCTATGCGTGCGTCAACTCGCTTATGTAGTCTGCGCCAGACAAAGGCGCGAACCAACAATAGTCAAGTGGTCGCGAAGGCGTCGCAAAGGCAGCTGCATCGTTAAGAACTCTGCCATCATGTGCACTACGGTAAAAGAAGCGTGTTCGGGCGCTAGGTTCTGCGCCTTTGCCCAGCAGCAGACCTTAAGTTGACAACAGGTTTTGAAAAATCTAGCATATCGACGATCTATGAAGTGATGGAATAGTAGAGCAGTGATAGAAGAAATGAACAAGTTGCACTGCTTCAAAAATTCATGTATTCTACTCGAGCAGCATGAGTTTAATGGGAAAAATTTTGCATTTGAACTAACCTTCAATATACTCTCCGCTAGTCATGCTGCCAGTTTTGGATCCTAGCACTAAAACATTCTTGACGAAAACAGGTATTGAAACATACTGCTCAACTTTTCCCTAGAAGAAACGCAATAGATCAACATGGTTAATTACCGATCGTGGCTCAGCAAAAGGCAACAATGTACGAGAAACACAAATAAGATGATTTCGAATATAGACGCTACATCCTCTCCTGAGCAGTTTGAAAGTCAAGCATACGATAGTTGTGCTATCGGAATTCTCAAAGATAAGATCAAGAAAAAGCTTAATCAGGCAATGAGGAATACTTACCGACAACCGTGTGGCTGTCCAATTAAGAATTGTAACAAACATAAAATAGACATACACCGACAGTGAATTTCAAAATCGGCAAAAGCTCAGATGAACTCAAAACTCGTTGTATTTTACAACAAACTAGAAAACTAGAAAAACTCATCATGCCAGCGATTTTTGAACATTTGTGACTGTCTTGGGTGACAAGTATGCCTCAGCAGCAAAAGAGAAACATAGAAAATAAAGAAATCGATCAAAATCCGCCAGATAACGAGATGAATGTCATGAACCTGCCGGCATCTCGACGTGGTAGGGGCACGACGAGGTGCCGGCAGGTTGCACTCCTTAATGAACACACTATTTCTCTTTCTTTTCTGACATGAGGGCGAGATGCCGGCAGGTTGAGGGCGAGATCGCGGCAGAAATCTCGACAAAATACCTCACGAAGTTGCCGGCAGGTCAATCTTTTGGGTCCAAAATTTGAAGTTGTCGGGATTTTTCGGATTTTTTTCGATCTTCATCTGGTGCCCACCTCTGAGATGGACCGTCAGACCTGGAGAGTGCCAGACTGATTGCTTTGGAGAACCTCTAGAGGGCGTTGGCAGTTTTCATGACCTGAGGGCGAGATCGCGGCTAGTTGAGGGCAAGACCTGCCGGCAAGTAGGGTAGATTACTACGGACCCTGCTGTCAAATGCGTTATTTTCATTTTGTTACCAGATTCCACAACATTTCTCACTACTTTCTACGGATGCCATCGTATACTCGTATGTCACATACCAATGCGAAGTTTTTATGCGCCTCCCTAACAAGTATGTCATCTTTCGTCACTTATACGGAAGTCTTTATCTGTCTCCACAAGCGATTACGAAAGCCTTACCCGTAGCCAGTTTGCTCATCATTCAAAGTTCACATTGCTTCAATTTCTCCTGCTTGAGTTCGTTCTTCTCACAGGGCGTGCGAAGGTGTCTGTCCTTCAACAACAAGCCCCGCTTTCTCCCGGTCCCGTGAAGAACAAACCAGTGATCAACGCGTGAAGCAATTCTGTCCTTAACCAAAGCGGCAAATGGATGGGCAACTTCAACTGTACATGTGGGAATCGTCCAGTCCAATCAATTAATGGCATCTCCACAATAATGGTCAAATTCAAAAGCTCGAGGACAAGCTTTGCTATGGAACGACATGTCGAGATGAGGACTAATTACCATAATCTGACGGTCCCAACGCCGACTGCTCAGACAATTCACGGGAGCTTCCCGAAAACAAGCCAATTTTGGCAAACTTCCCGAAGAACTCGTTTAACACAGAGGTGAATGGAAGCGCAAAAATGGGAGTTTCCCGAAAACTTTGACGTCAGGAGCAACGCAGTTAGGAACTTCCCGAGGATTTCTTCGGGAAGTATCTATAAATGCGAAACTTTCCAAAAGCTTTTAAGAAAAGGGAATTTTCCGAGAGCTTCGCGGTATTTCGTAATAGCGCTACTTTCATTCTAATGACTGAATTGTCGTAAAAAGTCACAGAGTCTTCATCAAACTTATGTAATGGTCAGTGCGATATCTGATTTAGCGCAAGTGCGGACTTCTAGTGTTTCTTTTCCATCGTCCTCTCGTTTTATTCTGTAAATTGACTGAATTCTCTTCTTTCCATGTGGCATTATTCAAATGTATTTGCATCACTTGTCGTTAAGGGTGAAGTGACCTCTTGCTTGTTACTTCGCACATCATAATTACCGTCCTCTGTCGCAGTGCGAGGTGTGAAGCTATGACCCAGAGCCAAAACAAGCAAATAGATGATCCGGCTATTGAATTACCTTAATATATGTGCGACCATCTATTGTACAGCTCTTTGCGAGTGCGGCTGTTATGATGCACCATGTAATAAGGAAATGACTCCTTTTGACTTTACATTTACTCATAAATTTTACGTGTTTCGAAATTCTTCTAAATGTGACTTTGTGCTGTTTTACATATAAAAAGGAAAATATGAATTTAGGCAAGTCTTTTTCAGCGTCTGATTCTCCTTGCTTTCTTTTCTGTATTTCGTAACAGTGCACTTGCGCTATTTCACTATACTGCTAGTCTGTCAATCTGTTATAGATGGTGAAAGTTTAGCAATTCAAATTGGAGTGTTATCTTAGGTAGTATTTAGATTCTGGTTCCTAGCTGAGTGGTTGTAATTTCGATCTTTTCTCCTCCTACTAGTGAAGCAGTTATGTGAAGGTGCTATATGTGCGTGCGCTTCGGGACCGCACCGCGGTTTCTCGCGATTTGATGATTTTCAAACTGCGCTTACGATTCTTTGCATATTAGATCTCTTCTTTCCTCTTTTCTAACGTGAATTTTTTCAGAGCAAGGGCATCAGCCGAATATAGTCGCGACGAACAAATAGTTCAAGGCTTCTACTTTGAGGGCACAAGTCGACTTTCAGGTGAGCGTGATTGCGCTTTATTTGACACTAGTTATGCTTCAACTCACTTCTATGATAATGTTTCTTTCTCTTTTTTGATTTAGCACTGCTTTTCTTTCTTTCTTTTCTTAAAGTTTCCTGTTTTCCTCTCTGATTTAGCACTGCTCTCTTGCTTTCTTTCCGAAGCTGTGCACATTAGAGATCACTAATGAGAATATACAATAATCTTTAAGCAAGAGTAATGAAGTTGTTCGAGGATCTTTTATTCACCTCCCATCTTTCCACTTTCTCTTTCACCCTCTATTCTCTTCACCCACATTCCGCTTCATGCAACCTACTAAGACATTTCGTATTTCACTCACATTTTTTGTTTATTTTATGGATTGAAATCTCTTCTTTGTGTCTATTTGGATTCTTGCCATGCACTACTTCGTAGTCACTATCAATTGTTGCCGCTGTTGCTGATGTTACCGCTGTATCCTTGTTACTGATGTTGCTGCTGTTACCTAATCATTGAAAACTTGTATGGAGAAATGAGACTTGATTGTTCGTTCCATCATCTAACAGCAGTAGCAGGGGTAGCAAATAACAGCAGCAGTAATGGTTAACAACAGTAGCAACAGAACGTCGATAACAACTGACGATGGAAACGCTGCCTGCTAACAGCAGAAACAGCGCTTTTGTATGGTTGAAACTAAAGCTGTGATAAGTGTATTTTTGCACGATTGGTTTGGTGGAATCTTTTGCTACTCAAATTTATAGATCCATTAGGCTTTGGCCGAACTTTATCCGTGTTACCCATGTTACCGGTGTAACCTGTGTTACTAATGTTACTAGTGTTACTGCTTTTACCGCTTTTAGTGCTTTAAGTAGTGAAATGATCACAGATACAGGCTCATTCTAGAACGCGATCTCATTGACTAGTGGCGAGTGAGTAACACGGGTAATACGAGTAGCACTAGTAACAATGGTAATGCGAGTAAACGAGTAACACGGGTAAGACCAGTAACACGGTAACACGGGTAAAGTATGGCTAAAGCTCTAGCGGGAAGTTTTTAGGCCATTCTTTAATGTCAGCTCATATCAATTTTTAGTTGAATCGTACTGTCTCTCTCAACAACACACATTTCCATGAGCTTAAATTTGCCTGTACTAAGTGTGTAATTCTCATGGATATCCTCAGATCTGCTTTTTGTGAACAAGCGTAGTAATTTGTTTGCTTTTCAAATTCGCTACCTCATCCATCGATGTCCATCTCTCTTTTGGTGTTTTCTCAACATCTTCACCTTTCTTTATACTACTCTCGTACTCAATCTCTCATCCCAAAATTTCAAATAAATCATGCGAACTTTATCCCCATTTTTTAGCGCAGATGTTCAAGAAATGGAGACTATTCGGCGTAATCGTCATCGGAGACGTAGTGAGTGGGCTGGAACTGAAGTGGAGGATACCAGCGGTTCGGTAAGTATTTACTGTCTTTCTAGGCACTAGGATATGAAATAAAATCGACCATTAGAGAGGCATAATAGGGACAAAATTTGTTACAAGTTAAGAAAACAAAACGGAAGACCGAGGAAATGAGATAACAATGAAGACAATAAAACGGGTTGCAGTGGGTTGCAAAACATTGTGTTGATTAGCTTTAATAGGATAAGTGGGCGTAGCTGCAGCGGTTCGATAAACTGTTTTCAAGTTTAGCAGGCTAGACGTGCTCGATTGAGCCTTGCGCCGAGTACGAGTAGCGAACCTGCGGCTTTACTCTCTACATTATCACAAGCTGCCGCCGACGAAGAGGTAGGCCCCAGCCAAATTGTTGCTGAGGAGACGGCAGATCTTAGTGACGTTGCTCCTAATGAAACGGTAGCACTCGGAGAAGGTGGCGTTAGGAACGTGGTAGAGCTAGGTAATGTTTTGTTTGAGCAATTTTGGAGAGAAGAACTGTATCATAGCTTTAAGACTACCGGGACAAACTGCTCTTTTTTGCCTGTTATACTGTCTTACATGGCACTAGCACAGCGGAGCTTAGAAGGTTGATGATGCTAATAGAGGTGGCCACAGGGAAGGCAGCGAATATTGTGAGATTTTGAATAAGTAAGTCGATCTGAAAAAAGTTCTTTTCAAGGGTGTGGCGGATATTAGGAAATTTGTCGATAACTTGGAAAGTGACCTGCGTTCAAGAAGTTACACGTTCTGCAGCTCGTGTTTTCAAACACTTGTAAATAAACATGCGTTGTGCGACAATTCACGCTGCGAGCTGTATAGGTAAGCCACTCCCAGACCTCTGATGTAGGATGACCACTTTTGTTTAGAATTCATCCCAAGCGTTCGAAATCATCGAGACGGCCATCGTTGTCTTTGCTAGACATTCGGCCACAGTTGGAGACCGTAATCGCTACACACTTGTCCCTTTTGATCAACCTACATCGACGATTACATGAAAGTCACGTTCGTATCACTCGTTCCGGTAGTCAATAGTCAGAAATACCCCACTTCTAGTTTAGTTTGACTGTGGGACACGCTCCGATGCCATTGATTTCCCGCTGTTTAAAAAAAATATGGAATCGTCAGAAGAGTTCTCCAGGCGCAGAATCACTCTACAGCTGAGTATAGCCACCGATGGATTCACGCCAGCACGGCTAAGCAGGTCTTTCACCAGAAGTCTGACAGGAATCCTTTGTCTGAATTTACGACGTGTTTAGGCAGGAGCTTTGGCCGCTATATGTGCGGATTGATGACCTTCCGTCGAAAATAGGAAACATGTACCTCAATATAATCTTGGCTGGCGTGCTGTGGACAACAAAAACTCCACACGAAGAGCTGTGGGAGGGTTTATGGACTCACATGGTTACAGAGCTGGCTGTTGTAAATTGCAATGAACTGCTACAAATCCGGGATGTAACCGGTGATCTGTGGACTGTCAGTTTGAGACTGACACATGCAGTCGTAGACTACAAGGTTGCTTTAATCAAAATTATGCATTTTCTCAGTGGAAATACTATTATAGGGACTCCAAGACATATTTGGCATACCTCGTTGGTTTTCCCGTTATGGCTGCCATAAATGTCTTTTTCCGGGAAATTGTATTGGTCGCAAACTAAATTGGTACTGTAGCGAACCTCTACGTTTCGCGAAGAGGACTTCAGCAAATATATTAGAAGACGCAGAGTGCGGACGCAATGGTCTCAGGGGTGAGCTTTAGCATGAGTTCATGAAAGTCTGTCAGTTCTCTAATTTGAAGGAAAAACTTCTGCTATGCGTCTTTTCACACCTGCGCATTGTTGCGCAGATGCGTTACACGTAATAAGTGAAGGCGTCACTCACGATCGTTTAAGAGGTTTGCTTTTGCTTTGAGCAGCGTTCAGGCAAATCTGAGGACAAGGAGATCTCAAGTGGAAAGTAGTTTTCCATCGTGCTTGCATATTTTCGCGCGAGAATCCACGAGGAATTGATTGGCCGTGGTGTGAAAGAAGGCAAGCACAATGCAAGTCGTCCATTGATACGATACGTTTGGAGACGAATAACTCAGCCGAGTGCATCATCTAAGCTGCGGCTTAGGCAATGTTTTGATCAGGGCCTCAAAACTACTTCCCACGTGAGATTCCTATATATGCAGATTTGCCTGGGCGCTGCCCCGAGCAACACAGAGCAACATGATGAACAGCGTTCATTTTAAGATCTGCTTTTCCGCGCGTCAAAAGTTGATGAAATGAAGCTCAAATCTGAAACAGTTGGTGAGCTCAATAGAGCTCTGATGAACATCACTAACTACACCTACAGTTCGAGGTTTATTCTTTGTAACGAAGATTTACCCTGTATGACAGGTGCTGAAGTTGACGCGGTACGCTTGCCCTAAGTATTTCTTGCCGCATTTTTCCATGATTATCAAAAAAGTGACAATTTCCAGTTCGCAAATGTGGTTTTTCCGCTCGTAGGAGCACTAGCGATGTGTCCTTCTGCTCTAAGTAGCGCCTCTCTCGTGGGCTACTGGTTTTGCGTGAAAGAACTGCAGGCCTTGGAAGATCTCACTACAGTCAAGATTCGCGTTATACAATCTGTGGCGCTGCACGTGAAGCAAATTTGGAGTTGCTTGTCACAAGATATTTTCACAATCAAAACACATGTAGGCCCACGTTCTGTCTCTTTTTACCCTCGAAACAATCCTACCGTTTAGAATTTTTTCGATCATTGTATAGTGGATGAGATTGAGCAGCATGGGAGTCCGTATTTGTGGTCTGCAGCACCGTTCGAGGCCATCCACCGTGTTTTGCAGATACCCCACAACCAATTTGTGACAAATTCGGATGCAAGAATTTTGACTAGGTATCCACAAGATCAGCGCATGACCTACACTGTCCTTGCATTTTAGATTCGTCACCATCAAAAAATTGGTAAGGCTCTTGGAAAGGGCTGTAGAAAAAAATCGCTCGGAGAATTTTGCTAAATTGCTTCGCGATATGCAAAATGAAGAGGAAAGGTAAATTGACTATACATCGTGCAATCTTATTTTCTATGGGTTTATCCTTTAAGATTTCCCCTTCAAGTCCAACTGGGAGCCGGTTATTATATTCCGCAACATTCCGAAGTAAGAGAAGATAACCTGTGCGAAGAACATCGGGCAATCTTCCAGCGTCACCATAGGGGTCTACGCGATGTCAAAATATAGTAGGTTTTTTGGCTTAGTCTCTCATAAATCTAGTTAGGTCAACACATCCTTGATTCCCAACACACTCCTGATTCAGCTCGCGCTTGGTCGTCAGCGGAAAGGTCCTATCCTCTAAAGTGTATTGGCAAAGGACCACTGATACAGATGCCTCTAGCTTATACCTCAGAGTTTCATGCGGGAATAATATGGTGATTTCTTACGGAAAATTGCTCTTGGTCAGCTATCATGCGCTCACAAGAAGCTCATTCGCTCTCATTGAGCATTATTCAACTGTGGATCCTTTTTCAAATTTGATGGAGGCTTTGGAAACTTTAGAAGGCTCAGACAGAGCCCGGAGACTCCTTCGTATTGTCTCTCTTAACAATTCCCACTTTCATGAAGTTAATTTCCTTGGCATTAAATGGGTCAACTGCACTGATATTTTGAGACCCGCTGTTTTCGTTAATATGCGAAATAGAATGTTTGCTCTTAAATTGTAAGGCTCTGTGTAGATGCATATCACCAGTCTCCATCTTTTCTCTGTTCTTCGTCAATTCGGGATAAAGTATATATGCTTGCAATTTAGGATAAAGTATATATGCTGACTTTCTTATTTACTGTCTTCTTGAGGATGTTTGTGCACCTTTGATCCTTGATTCCTTACATTGATATTTCTTAAAAATCTCCATATGTTTTAGATCGCGAGGAGAAGAGGAGCAACAGTTTGCTGGGTTTTTTAACATCCTCTATTTCCTCATTCATGCGCTTTGTTTAGAACTCTGATGGCTTACAAAAAGGCTAAGTCTTTAAAACGCGTGCAGTCGCAAGTCAAAATGAAGACAGTCAAAATGAAGACTAAAAGAGGTGCAACACCTAAGCGCGAAGAGTCACCATTGTTTATGGTAGGTTCCACTCCGGAAAGACGAAGGAAGTGAGAGATTAGAGGCAGCTAAGGGTATGTTTGCCGGAAGGTTGAAACCTGAGTGGAAGCTTAATAAGCAAGTAATGTTGATTAGGCCTCTGCACACTTTTTAGTGCGAGCCTAAGAAGGAGGTTTTGGATGATGTGGAAGAAATTGAAATTGAAAAGCCAAGGAGCGACTCTTCGGATTCCTCTGAACGTGCGTTTATACCTCATTTCAAGCTTACAATCTCAAAAATTGGTGAAACATAATTTAGTGGGGTTGGAACGAGTATATGCGACTCTAGAGCCTGTTCAAGCACTGCATACGTCTACCGTACATTCGCCAGATGTGACAGGTTCGTAGCCATGTTCTGAACAGAACTATTTACTTCTTCTTCAGAGCATGGTTCAGCGCAGCAGATAGGATGGTCATCTTCTTCGGAGCCAGGCACATCGCAACAAGTACCTTGGTCAAATGAACCAGGTTTCTAGTAAACTCATCTGTATGCGCCAGAATGTTTTCTAGAGTCAAAATCTAATAGGAATTGAAAGGGCGCCAGTCGGTTCGGCACCTCCCTCGCAGCAACCTACCTTGCAGTCGGACGCTTTGGGTTGGCGATTTTGTTCACATGGTTTATTACATTGCAAAAGCCATTTTAGACGTAATGCGCACATGTTTGTCGCGTGAAATTGGAAGCACGGAATTTTCAACCCCGCTCTATGCAATGGTTGCAAGAGGAACGCCGTTATCAAGTGTCACTCTGCAGGTATTCCTGCTTCTTTTCGCAGCACGCAAGGAAAGAATCTTTTTTAGGAGACGCTCCACCATTGTAGGCAAGTAACTCAGTTCGATCTACAGGATCTGTCTAGATTGGTGCAGAGCGCCGAGCGCTCTAGGCATGGTATTTCTTTATTTGATAACATCGAAACAACGCGGCTCTTGGTAGAAAACGCGATATCCAACCGCGTGCTGGTGAGTGCAGCTGTGACGACTTTTATGTATCGGTTAAGGGGGAAAGTAGGATTCGTCACGCTTAAGCATTTGAATCAGCATTGCTCGCTACAGGTTAATCTTCTGCTAACAAAGAACAGAGATCTCGAGTCTCAAATCCATGTACTGCGACAGATCTGCAACAAGCTTACTAGCGGAATCAGCGAGTCCTCTTCCACCATAAGCTTCAGCCCTGATAATCTCAAGAAACAGCACATAATCAAGCGTAGTTCACCATTCAAGGTAGTTAGGATCAAAAATTAACCAAAGCCAATTATGCTTATCATAGGAACTAAACCTCAACGAGCTTCTCGCCGGCTACACAGCTCCGAGTAGAGTCAAACACAAGACTTCGCTCGTCATCAATGACTTTTCACGTGTGATCTTCAGACAGGTTGGCCATTCATGTTCATAACTTTCATAACCAATGAACATGTAAGTATAATAAAAAAATCTAGTTAAGTAAATATGAGTGGACTACAGCGAGATTTGTAGGTTTGTGGACCAGATCCCTCAGATATATGGAATTTTGCTCATCGTACATCTAATGTATCGCGCAAGCCGGATTTACAAGATCTGCCTGAGTCCATAGTTATCACACTCAACGGTACGAAACTAGTCATGTAAGAAATTCTCATTCAAATCATTCTTTAGATTTCGTATTGGATGCGCTTAGCCTCGGCAACGAGGATTTGGAGGGATACAGATTGAATTCGATAAGAAGCTTGCGCACTAGGTGCGTTGGTGTTTCGTAAGCAGTCTTTACCTACTCAAATGATTTAGTTACTGGATCTCTCTGGGTACATCCGATGAAGAACGCGAGAAAAAGTTCAACTATCTGCTGGAGCAAAAAACTTTCTACTGCGGCCAAATCAGGACCTGTATCGCAGAAGCACTGTAAGTTTTCCAGAATCGTCTTCTGCTTCTAAATTCAGTTTTACAGCGAGGATGTCCGTTATTATCGCCTCGACAAGGGAAAACTTGTGCCTTCAAAGGTTCAAACTTAGTCTCAGTTGTTTTTATACTAAAAATTTGTTTTCCAGAAATACAAGGCTACGCAGGTCGGATTTGGTAGAGAGGACAAGGCAAGTATGACGAAGTCAGAATGGAAGAGGAAAGCGCTACACAGTAGTGGAATTTGATCCCGTCGCTGTCCTGTTTGAACCTGATGTTTAATTTCTGATCCATCATAAGTCTTCTCATGTAACATCGTGCCTTTGCCTCATTAGTTAAGCATGTTTCTCATTAATCAGTGCTTCATTTACTTACTCCCCGCTTACCTCTATATTCACTACATGCTTACTTCATATCTCACTATCAATATGATACTCCTTACGCATTATCCGGGCTACTGTAATTCGATCTTTTAAGAACTTGAAGAAATTCTCCCATTCCCTCCGTCGATATGTTATATCTACTGCTATAACAATAAATGATGGAGCATATCTGTTTTTGCGTATAACTACTACTAGTGCTCCACCCTTACTACTACACTACTTTGAGTAGCTGTACTAAGGGTGCGGCTTTATGAAGTAGCAGGATTCATCATGAAGGTTCGGTACAGCTACGCGGAGCCAATGTGAAGCCCTCAGAAAGTTCTGTAGATAAGTTCTCGGGAGATTTCCCACTTCTTGCGAATTTCCCGAGGACTTTTTTGCAAACTTCCCGAGCGCTTCACGGGAACTTCCGCAGGTGACCCGAGGAAAGTTCCCTCACGGACCTCGGGAAGTTCCCATTGATTGTCTGAGTGGTCGGTGCCACCAACTTCAGACGAGCTGGTCCTCCAAATCACATCTGTTACGATATAATCATAAAGATCTAGTCAAGAATTGTAACGTTTCTACAAGGAGATTACAAGGGTAGAGGGATCAAGCTCAGAGAGTAATTTACTCTTCAACTTGGCAGTATATCTAAATTAAGAATGCGGTATTCTTCAAAAGATTGATTATACCACGTAAACAGCACTTGCAGACCACAAAATTCTGTCATTAGAGTTGACGTGTACATCCCATTAAGCAAATTCTTGGATCTATTTATAAACTATCTATCTCTAATCAGTTAATCTAATGATGCTGGTTTGCTGGGTCTTATTTGTGATCAAATAACGGAGGGCAATGATTCGCTCTGTACTGTAATTCTAATTTGCCTTCCAGCGCTGTACTCTGAAATTCGCACAGGACGTCGGCGCAGCAGACAAATCAACAATGTATACGTACTTGTGAAGCACTCTGTATGTACCATTTCACATGTGGGTTACCAATGTGATTTTACATATGCAGGGTATCTCAAGAGTACGTGCCCACTACTTGAATGTGTTATCGGACTACAGCTACAATTTTGTAGAACTGACTCCAACTCATCACAATACAGTACGAAAAACCAACTTCTCTTTGTCAGAGTCATGATAGGGACTTTCCGCATTTGCGATTATGAAATAGCTGCATTACGGCTGCATTTTAGAAAAAATCGAACAAATCTGAAAGGCGTTTAGCGGATTTTCGAGCACGCCAGCTCGACTTTCCTTTATAAGTCTTTTTAAACTGTGTAATTTTCAGGAAAAATTGAGAAAGCAGTGTCACGGTTACCGCATATCTTATGAACGAACTTTGCCTACAAAGCGCAAATTTCTTATCTGGGTTCAGCTATTTGACTATGATGGTGCTTTTAGATTGTTGTTTCTAGTTCCGCTTTTAAAGCAAATTATGACCCTCAATGGCTCACCACCGTTTTAAAAATGTTTGCTTAATTCTAAAGTAGGGAAGAGCGGTGATTCGTTTTGTACTGTAAATTCAACATAAGCTATAATCAGCCCTAGGTAATGGTACCCATAGCTCCGCTGACGAGTTCAGGTAAGAGTAATTTGCAATTAAGTAGCGTGTACATAATTTTGAGACAGTTTATGTTTTTGTAGGAAAATCGTCTTTACTTTACTTTTCAAATCGTCTTTATTCAACTTTTCCCTTTCAAGCATGTACTTGTAGAAGAATCGCCTTTACTCGAAAGCAGTGCCTCACCGAAATATGGTTGCCAAGATTTTTTGCATCTTACAACCTTGTGAACAATGTTGAGGTTCAAGATTGCATAAAGTCTTCAAAAACCCCCGTTTCATGAAGCCCGCATGGAAGCAACATGGAAAAGTTGTGCCTTTCATCTTAGCCTCCGTCACAGTACAGCAACACCAACATTGTGGCGTTGAGTGAATGGACGTGTTGGAACAGTGTTGGAACACGTATGGCGGAGAGATCGCCGAGTCCGAGTCCGGACCAAATTACTAGATGCGGACCACTTTGAGCGCATTTTTCTTCCTGTAAATGAGATCAAAAGGACTTGTTGCAATAGCCTATTTCGAGGGGCCGACAATAGAACATGGTTCCGCGCAACCTCAATTTTGACGAGACGCTGCTTTTAACTTCTCCGATTGATATGCTGAGAGCGAATATCAGTTGAGAAATTATCGGTTGTCATCAAAATTGGTCCAACTAAGTGCTTGAAGGTACGTCTACCCAAATTCTTCGAACTTGAGATTTTGTCCTTTTTCGCACCTCTTGCGCACGCTGGGTTTAAAACCAGACCTGAAATTGATCGGAAATCACAAACTATTGACCTCTACATGCCCTTCAGAATCCGTAGTAGAGAGAACTCCTCGCGCCTGCCGATCAGCCGCGGGCCAGCTGCTGACCCACCGCAGGGCAGAGACGCAGAGGACTGCTGTGTCATTTGGGCATTCTAGCATGATTTGATCGAATTCTTGACCTTTGCGCCTGCTAGGCGAAATCCTTCGGAAGACGGATTGGGGTGGAAGAACGTGCCGCTCACTCAAAGGCGAGGGGCCAACGTGGTGAATTCGTTTTCCGAAGGATTTTCGAAGTGATTTTCTCGCTTTGGAAGCAATTTCAGACAGCCCGAGTTGGGCAGTTGTACAGTTGAGAGTCCCGCAACGAAGGTAGGTAGCTGGCTATCCGAAGAGATTTCTTCGTGTGTTTGTAGGAGAAAGAGGGCAAAATGTTTTTTGATGGAAGCACTCCGAGTTTTTAAACTGTAAGAGATCGAAACTTATAGACCCCATTTTGGATGGACAGTGCCTCTGAGAAACCATGAAGGTAGCTGGCTATCGGAAGAGATTTCTTCGTGTGTTTGTAGGAGAAAGAGGGCAAAATGTTTTTTGATGGAAGCACTCCTAGTTTTTAAAATCCCAAACTTTTCGCGGTTCCCTAACCAGCTTTAAAAAGAGAGCGTGAAAAAAAAATGAAAAAAAAAATTTCTGAAAAAAAAATTCTTTCACCAGCTAGCTTGAATCTTCAAAAAATTTTTAGAAATTGCTTCAAATTATTTGCCAGTAATACAGCTTTCAAAATTTTTCTACCCATTCTTAAGGGGGGTCACCCTCGGTCTGCCACTGGAAGGTGGGCGTTCAATTGTTTTTCAGTTTCAGTAGGAACTCCTATCAGTCAAACAAGTTTGCTACTTTGTTCCCTTAATAGAATTGTAGTCCATAGATCAACTTCTTCCGAATTAATTGTATAATTCGACTAATGATTTTGCAATTAAAATAGCAAATTGTAGACTTGGCGCAAAACCATGGCGATTGGACTTGTATCATATGACGCTAAACCATGTAGACATTCGCTATTGCTGGAATAGATGATACAAGTGCGTGAAATCTGAAACAATATAGAAAGTGGAGTGCTCCTCATAGTGCTGTTGTATATGAGATTTACTTTGTTTCAAGTAATGTACTCTCTCTCTCTACACACGATAGCACAAACACGCTTCTCCGAAACAAGAGACACAACCTTTGTATGACTACGAATTATGGACAATGTACACCTGCGAAGTGCACAAATGTTATTGGTTATAATTAATCTGTGTACACTTCATGCATATAAAGCTATCAATGGTGCATAAACACAAGATATTTTAGTAGGTTATCCGGTTAAAGCAACATCCATCAAATGCATTCCTTTTCTATTACTTTTTCCGCTCTTCACTCCTTTTCAAACAAATATATTCTTCCTTTCAGGGGTATGCAATAAAAGCATAGTTAGTGCACCAATCTGATCGTAATGTGATTATGCTTATCGTTAGATCATACTTGTTTGTAACGTCGCTTTGCTGCACTTTTTTTTGAAATACATAAAAACAAGAAAAACAATGGGACACAAATCAAGTTTAAGCTACAGGTTTTGCTGGTTAGTTATATACAGAAACCTGCCTCACAAAGTCAACTTCCAGTCATTAGTCGGACACCTTTCCGAGCAAGAATTTGTACAGAATTGCAACTGAAACTTCTTCGTTTGCCGAACCAGTGTGACTTTTAACAGAATAAACCGTTTTGAGCATCCTTTGAAAGGAGTGTCCGGCCAGAACGGTGATTATTGGATTTCCCCTTGCACGAAAAGTAGCACCACCAATTCACAACCTAAATGAGGGGTCGAATCGAGAAAATTCTTTCAGAAGAGTGATCCAATCCAAGTTTTAGGTCCAGGGTGCGCATTTGTGACGTTGCTTAATTAAAGCGCTTTGGTATCATACCGAAAGCTCATAAACTCCGATCTAATTGGACACTGCTTTTGAGGTCTACAATTTTTTTTATTTAAGTAAGTCTAGTCAGGATTTTTGATGCAGTACCTGAACATATTAGAATGTCTCATAATTTTTTACCGTTTTTACTACAACCGTCGTCTTTTCGTATCTTTTCTTCATCTGATGTGGCTTGAGTAATCATTGGACAGGGCAAAGCAAGCTTTACAAGGTGGCTATCAAAAGTCTGCCCAAATCGTATTCCACTTAAAGTTTCAAGCTGAAATCTGATAGTAGCCGAAAACGAACTTTTCTGTTAAAAATCGTATCTCCGCCTCAAAGTATCTAAAAAAATTGCCTTTCTATTCTAGCATAGGCCTACACATCGCACATTCGCACACTTTCCGAATTTTTTCATAGCTAGAAATAGAGAAAAGAATGAATGAGGTAGAATGGCAAACTCCGCTCCCCGAAGTCCTGAGCTTCTCCCACGCATGTGATCATATAGCTCATACATACAGAAGTATGGTCATGTAATTGTTTCTTTATAGGTATTCCAGTTTTCGAGAAATGCTGATATTTAGGGTAAAAATGGTACAAAAATTATGAGACATACTAAAACATTGAATGGAATTCAGCTCTTCATTGAAGTCTTAATAACTTGCGCTGACTTTCAAAGAAAAACGGAGCCTGAGTTTGTGGTGACAGGACAAATTCAACACATTCTTTGCCTGCTAATTCAAGCTTTCACATTCCATTGGCTACAGGTTTCCATGCGATTTGCGATCTCACTTTTGATTGAATAAGCCATATTAGCGCAAGAATAGATACTTGATGATGGGTCGAAAGTGTATGGCAGTAGACGCGAATGTATGCTCATCTGTTAGTAGAGCTTGAAGGATTAAACCAATAAATCCCGCCCACAAACTTTTTGTCACGAATTTTGAATTACTACCGTACGTAGCACGATCCGGAGCTGGAGAAATCATTGTTTTATTGAGTGTGTCTCAATAAAAGAATGATTTACAATACTTTCAATTTTACTCTCGATTTTCCTCGATTTTATCGTGTTTACCAATCATCGTTTGGCTGGCTCGTCATTCACTTTCAAGTAAATGACAGCACTGCTCCTTGGGATCGTAAGACAGTTGGGTTTGAAATCGCATGGCTTCCTCAGAAGGAGCCGGTGTATCCAAGCGTCGGTGGTGTCTGGTTGGTGGATACCTGGCAGGAACAAACCGTAGACGTTTTGGACATTCCAGAAATGTGGCAATGACATTCTCCAATGCCAATCACTCGACCTCCCTTGACCAAATAGAAAATTTTCTTTTTATCAACACCTGAGGTAGCCCTTACTCACGGTTTGTGCTACGGCTGAAAGTGACAGGCTAGTCTATTACTAACCTAGCTACGATTTTGTTACTCGCACTGTTTTTGGCACACGTTCAGGTGTATGAGATAAAGATAGAATTCAAAAAATGATCTGTCGCGCAAAAAGCTTGACAGGAAAGTGTGACTTCCCATACCTTTGAAAAGCGAATTACAATACCACCCGTAATTTGTGAAAAAAAATGGCGGCGGCACTTAACTTACGCGGCGCCATTTTTTTTCACAAATTACGGGTGGTATTGTATGGTTGCTTGTTGATCTGCTTAATGTTCTCATATGTGGTGAGTACATTTTGAACTTTTATTATAGAATCGTGTGCTTCGAGAGTCGTGGAAGTGAATGGTATTTGGTGTATCTGCCTTGTGGGACAGTGCCTTCTAAAGAAGTTGAGTTTTAGCTGAAATCAAGCAGGCGTCATCTGCAGTATCCCCACAGTGATTAAAAAGCAGCTAAGAATCGCGAAAGTAATTCCTAGAATAAAGCATAACAGAACTTCTAAAACCACAGTCATTGCATGACCCACCATGTGGGTCACATTGTCGTCACTGTGTAATTATGTTATTTCGACTTGGCATAAAATTTTTGTGTCAAATAGTTATGAACCCGCTGCTGTTGCAGAAAGCTTATGTCTTACTCTACAGTGACCATAACATAATGCTATTCGATATTGCGAGACAGTTACATCATTATTTTTTGATGATATGTGATGTCCCCAACAACATAATTTTTGAATAGCCATATACGTGTCTTCAAACAAGTTTTACCAAGCATATGTTGTTGTTCGCTCAAAACCGAGGACAAATTATCAAAGCAACTTTTACTTTCTTTGCAACAACGATTTCTTCGCAAATTAGCATTTTAGTACTGTTATTATTGAACATTAACTGCGTTGTTAATTTGAATGAGTTAGCATCCACAAAACTGAATGCATGCAGATTACCCCAAAAATGTACTGAGATTTGAGCGCTAATAACTTCTTGTCCAGATAGCTTGTAACATATATAGGTAACATATACTGACCGGCTCCAACTTAAAACCACAGTAAGAAACGAGTTATAGGGCCGTGCGTAATCGTGAAGTTTATGAGATTGCGGGCATTCCACAAGTAGTATCTCCCGTCGAACGCTTTCCTGCCATCATATGTTAGCTTTTACTATCTAAAGAATTTGTAAAGTGCGAGTTTTGTTTAGCTGGTTTGGAGGCTTGTGACATTGTGCATTAGCAATGGCTGCAGTCTTACCAACCTTCACCATAATGCACAACCCTATACCTAATTCTTATCTTTATTAGAGGTTTACGGTGAGAGCCTTCAACAAATTAGCGTTGTAATAAAGTAGCTTCCATTTTAATCCTGCAGAAGCCCTACATATCGCCTCGGGAGTCTAGAAGAGTCCGAATCATAAAAGGCTACGCATCGTTGTAAGGCTGATTTTGAAATTTGATATTTTTAGGGACATCTAAAACAGCCATTACACATACCTGGCCGAAGTTTTGACAAATCTCTCAAACCACAGTTCGTATTTCAGCTACACTGATTTAGTCAATTAGAGTTCTTACAAAGTGCTATGTGGGCATCTTCGACTCTCATCTGGCAATAAATTTCTCAGAAGTTTTTATTTTTACAGAATAGAAGAATTATCGGGTGACTTGATAAGTCTGAAGTAAAATCTAGCCGTACGACTTGGTAGCGAACCTTGAACGATACCCATTATATTATTCAAGAACCCTGCACAAGACTACTTTTGCATTTACTGTTGTGACTTGTGCAGTTTCTATCATAATGCTCATCAGATCAGCTCGTCAGCGGTATCCTTTTCAGATGCTTCCACTATTACTGGAGTGCTAACTCCTCCACTCAACTACCTTCAAACGCCATAATCATTCAAGAGTCTCAAAAAAGCTTCATTGCTCCAACGTTTTCATGAATCCTGCCAATACGCTCGTTTCGACAACATTAATTTCGATTTCAGGAACAATATGCTCTACAAGCTGTTGCTTTTTGCACTTCTGGTATCCGTGTATGGTGGTGGTCCCAATCAGCCGAAGCGCTTTGATGTCGCGCCGTCCAGTGATGCCGGACCATTGAGCATTGGTTCTAATGGACCGCGGCCAAGACCGCAACTAAGACCACAACCTCATAGTGGTCGCGGACACGTGCATCCCGGACCACAGTGCCCTATCAGAAATCCCAGCTATGAAGCCTGGTACAGCAAATTCAAGAGAAGGGGATGGGATTTCAGTAGTGATCAGGGCGATATTTTACTCGAGAAGGTTAGAAGTTTGCCTTGACATGACGTGGTCGCTTTTATAGTTTCGTTTTACAGTGCATTCGTGGTTGCTATGATAGAAACAATCAATTTTGGGCCTGTAATGCGTACGAACGGTTCAAATTGTCATTTGTAGAATGCTTCAAACAGTGCTTGAGCACGAGGGGCCTAAATACCGAACTTTTATTGAGTGACGCGTTCAATGCGTTTAATGCGGAATAAACTGCTGATAGTTATGTGTCTGATGATATTCTGAGTTACGACCTTTGAGTACCGTATTTGAGTTCTACTTATGGAATTCAATAGACATCGGCAGTTAATGCTGCAGCCGATGGGCGATGCTAGATACTATTAGCAAAAGAAGATTGATTTCAATTCCACCGTAAGAAGTCGCTTCAGCTTCATTATCGTGATTACAACCCGATTTTGTTAACGGTACAAGTCAGCTATGAGTACAATATTTGATATAAGAAAAATGTTACAAAGACATGAGGATTACAAAACTTTGTCCGGATAGCAAAATTTTTTTCTTGACTTTCGCAAATGGATAGCAAATGTTTGTCCATTGATTGATCAAGATCCATCACACGTTCAGAATGTCTAATTAGTAGCTGGTGCTATGTTTTCTGAAAATTATAGATTGCAAGAGCTGTAGAAGAAACATCGCTGAGGGAGGTTCACGAATTTGCTCAGATTCAGAAAATGGTAATTAAAAGCAGCGGCTAGGCAGAATGACCACTTTTGGATTTTTATAGTTCTCGGCTCTCCAAGATGAGCTAAGTCCAAGACTATGCTTTGCAGCTTCAAAAGATGTCAATAACCCGCTTTTTCAGACGTGCTCTATTTGAGGGCGGACGCATATCCGCCCTCTAGAGCGCGATTGGCTCGTGGGTAGAGATACTGTACCCACCGTACCCACGAGCCAATCGCGCTCTAGAGGGCGGGTACACGGTCCACCCTCAAATAGCGCCTTTCACGTCTGGAAAAGAGGTTATTGATATCTTTCGAAGCTGCAAAGCATAGTCTTGGACTTAACTCATCTAGAGGAACTGAGAATGATGGACAAAGTTGTCATTCTGCCGAGCCGCTACCTTTAACTGTTTTCGAATGATTTTGAGAGAACAACTAATTGAGCATTATTTATTGCAAGCAACATTCTAGTGCGCATTTTATAAAACCATTGACAAGTTCGGCTTGTACAGTATCAAATCAAATGTTATTATTACAAATGAGTAACATTCCAAATAAGAAGCTTGAATGACCTAAATGTTATGTTTTGCTTTCTAAGCGCTCTCAAAATCTTAAATTCCAAAATCGTTTTTTTTCAAATGTTACTCGTCCGAAAGTTCGCGCCGTTTTTCGCTCATCATCAAGTCACTACCAATAATGATAGACAAATGCTCTAAGCCTTGCCCGATGCAGAATTTCTACTTCTTTCTAGCAATTATGTTTTTGTTCCGAGTCTTGTAATAATTGTTCAAATAACCGTCAAAATCCCAAGTAGTAATTTTTTGTCCCAGTTTTTGGCTATTTTTCAGAAATCTTCTTTCAGACTTGGAAGAGCTTGATAATATGGCACAAAGTGCAACACGGAAATTTTTTGGACCTTTAATTGGCTCTTCAGCATTTTCGAAATAATTTTTCTGAAGGAACTCTGCAAAGTCGCAAAACACAAGAGCGCTTCAAATATTGATAAATCATCTTAATTTAAAGCGTTCAAAACTTGTTTATGTTGAATATTAATTTCGCTAAGCCTCTGAGCGTTTACCGCTTGATATAGCAACTTTTGCTTGATTCCTCGATGTGACGGTTTTATATTCATATAGCGCTCAGAATAACATGCGCAAATAATTGTAAGGCACCCTGTACACCGCGGAGGATTGGGGAGTAAATCACAAGTCATTCTCATACTTGAGCGTCATCGTTACCATTCTACAAAATTTGCAGTTCGTGGAAATTTCCTTTTTTAGGTTGTAAAGAAAGTTCCGCAGCACTTGCGAAAATTTTTTTTCAAATCGCTGTAACTTCAAGCAGACTGAATCTTCCCTCTACAAACTTCACTGCAAAGACAATTTTGTTTACAACATATATCTGTCTTGCTGGCTTTTCAGCATCTCACTGCGGACCATTAGCATGCGCAGAAGAGAAACAGGTCGACGCAAAAAGTGGCCTATATGTGCAGGATTATCTCAGGCATGATGAGAGCTGGAGAGCTCAGATGCTGCAGTTATATGGAAGTCCGCTGGGGCTATCATGGAAACTATTTAAGTCATTGAACGACCACCAAAAAAAGTTCTACCAGAAAATTTTAAAATCGACCATTTTTGGCCACCAAAAATGCACCATTTTTCGAGTAAGTTGCTTTGAAGTCTTCTCGTTCTGCATAGGTGGACCAGATCTCGCTTACTGTAGGCATTGTTGGGGTAATGCCTTGCATATCTTTTAGACCCATCATGCAAACGTGGCGATCCTCGCAGAAGCGACGCCAGCTGCGGAAAGAGATGCAGTCAGGTGCAATTTCGACGGCTTGTTAGTTCTGAGCCCAAACGTAAAACTCGAGTGCAGCTGCAAGTTAGAAGTTAGCAGACTCCTCAATCAGATCACCTATGATTTGGACGAATTCTTTGAATTGCACAAAAATGGCCGTGAGAATAAAAGTTGTGAATTTTTGTGGTTGGAAAGATTTCCCTTCTTGACAGGCAGATCAAACACGTCTTGGCATCGATAAAAGTCAGAAGGCTTGTTAAAAACCTCAGGCTTCTCTCTACTGAACAGTGTAAAAAACTTGGCGTCAAAATCCGACCGAGCGCCGAAAAACGCGTTTGAAAATGAAATTTTCAAAAGTGCCCGGGAACTTTCTTCACAACCTAATAATTCCCTAAAATTTACTCCTGCGAGCTTCTTCATAGTATTTTGCAGAATGACCTACTTACAAGGGAGCGTATTATCGCCTGGGTTTATGTTCAATAACGCGTTTCAAAGTCTGCATCTAGCAATTTCGAACACGGAAAAGGTAAAACGGTTTCCGTTGAGACAAATTCTAGACACTATATCTATGGTAGCTATCAACATCATTTAACACAACATCTGTCGGTTCGATTGTGCGAACAGCTAGCTTCCACTAAAAGTTCAATAATTTACATATGCAAGCAGGTAATAAAAAGCGCATATTGTGAGCGTAAACCACTATCTATCAAAAAATTGAGTGCCTTCGTCTGCGGGTAAGGCTATGGTTTATTGCTTTTTATTGGCTTATTCGGCGGCCCGTTGAGAGTATGTATTAGTTCGTAAAGAATGTTCCCGGGCACTTGCTAGAATTTTTTTCAAATCGTAACTTTAAGCAGATTAATTCTTTCTGCAGCTACAAACTTCATTGCAAAGACAACTTTGACCACTACATACAGCGACCGCCAAAAGGCGGACAAGCCGCCTTCCTTTTTTCATCTCTCATTTTCGGATGGAATACAAAGATGAAAAAATGATTGGATTGCATAAGGTTATAGAGCTGTTCAAGAGCTACATACTAAACATCGCGCTTTCTGGAAGACAGATATTCTAAAAATTTTAAAAATTATTTCTAGAAAAAGTTCGGAAACGGCCGCGTCGTCACAACGTGGCGGACAACAATTCTTCAAACGCGAAAATCTTCCTTCAGGTCTTTGTTTGAAAAAAAGAACAGAAATTTTCCTGACAAATGAGCATACTATACTATATTATAGGGCTCATCGAGGACAATAATCAGGTAGCGGTTTTACTTCCAAAAAACCCAAGCTTAAAATTTATTTTCCTTTTTTTCAAAAAATAACTTCTAATTATCTTTTTCCAAGCCAAATTTCTTCACGTGAAAACTCATTCAAGACACCCTAGCAAAGCTTTTCGGATAAAATGGATGGTCTTTGCCATACTCTATGCATCGGACTAGTGCTGGTGAGTTTCTTTGCTGAAAATGGCTCTCGACAGTGCGTGCATATGACCTCACCTGCACCCTACCACTGACTTGCACCGCTTTGCAGGCTTGTAGTTCGGCCGGCAGTCACTCCTATGAAGCACTTAGGCTTATTCTAAAGGGCGTGACTTTTTCGACACGATGGTGTGCAAATAACTTCACTTTGAGCAATCCCGGAAATTTTACGGACAGGGGAAAAAGCGCAGCCTTGGAGGTGATTGGATCGAAGGCGTTATCAACACCAGAACAGTCTTAGAGCATCCAAGTGAATTTATAAGTAGAAAATTGACAGTTTTGAACTTTCAGGAACGAACTGGTAGCTGGTAGCAAAAGGAACTCTGTTCAAATCTAGGTGAAAATAACTCGGCCTACCACTGATGCTGCGCTTTTTCACCCTATAAAAACTCCGGATTTCTCAAACTCAAATCGTTTGCATATCTTCGTGTCGAAAAAGTCACGCTCTTTCAAAAGAGCCTATCCATAGGCTCGTAGAATGACTGCTGGGCGAGTTACAATTTTGCAAAGCGGTGCAAGTCAGTGGTGAAGAGCAGCAAGGTAATGTACAGGGCACTGTCAAATGCCATTTTCATCAAAGAAACTCACCAGCACTCTGATGCATAGAGCATTGTAAAGAGCATCCATTTTTGGCAAACAGCTTTGTTAGGATGTCCTGAACAGGTTCCCGTTTGAAAAAATTTGGCTTGAATAAGGTAATCAGGAGTTTTTTTATAAAGCAAAATAAAATTTAAGCTTGGGTTTTTTGCATATCTTCGTGTGGAAGTCACGTTCTTTCAAATGAGCCTATCCACACGCTCGTAGAATGACTACTGGGCGAAGTTACAATCCTGCAAAGCGGTGCAAGTCAGTGGTGAAGAGCAGCAAGGTAATGTGCAACTACTACCTTTGGGAGTAACTTCTACCTGATTATTGTCCTTGATAAGCTCTATAACATAGCATGCTTACCTGTCCAGAAAACTTCTGTTTTTTGCTCCAGAAAGAGACCTAAAACAAAATTTTCGCTTCCGACCGCGACACTGTGACGCCACTCATTCCTGAGTGTTTCAGCACGTAAATAA